TGAAATCATTTTTTACTGTTTGGATTTCATTGGGATCACGGTCAACATGTGGACACTCCAATCTAAATTCATTTTGAAGTTCAGACTCATTGCCTTCACTGGAATATCCAGGCAAGTCATTTTGTTCATTGCAGCTTGACAGGGTTTGGCATACCACAGCAGTTTTGGTTTTCTAAGGCCAGGAATTAAAATCACAAGCGAATTGTGCTTGCCTCTCCCCGTTTAACGCATATTGAACTCCTTTTAGTCAAGACTAACAAGTGCACCTACCAAAAGGGTTCAACCTTTAGTTATAGCTTTTGTGCTGCTATAAAAATAATTGAATGCGTTTAGGGAGAAAGGAAAATTATTTTCTGGGAAGGCTATATTTCTACAACCACATAGTAAGAGGAAATGAAGAATAACATTTTTGTCAAGATAAATTTGTGACACCAGCATGTAGAGTTTTCCTCTGTGTATTTCTGATAAGCAAGAGATTAATAATTACATTCTCTCAGGGTTTTTTTTGTCTTGTTTAGATGCAGCATTTCAAAAGATGCTATTCACCTAACTTCCTTTCACAGAGCCTGACAGTTCAATCATGGAATATGAAATCAGGGGGAATCTATAGACAATAAGCCTTCTATAGCCATACCCCTTTATCATAGTGTATCCTTAAATCCTAATGTACAATGTAAAAAATAACCTAGTTAGAAATTGCATGGCACTATAGAGAGGAAAGCACCTGTTTCTATATATCCATACTCTTCAAAGAGCATCTCTCTGCTGACTAGGACTTTTCCTTTGCTGGCCTTCAGATAGCATACTAGAAAATCAAATGTGATGTATTTTTGTGGTACCTGTAACTCTCCATGGCTTCTTTAAACCATAAGTTTTAAGATAGGTAGACAGATAGCTGAATCACTCAATTTACCTTCCAATTATATATAATGTACATATATATATATATATATATAGGGAGTTCAGTCAGATTGGTCTGATTGTGAACACCTTGACATTTATTTTTTTTTCAACTGCCATACTGCAGTTTACTCTTTTTTTTTTTTTTTTTTTTTTTTTTTTTTTTTTTTTTTTTTTTTTTTTTACAATATCTCTTTTGCCTTGCCGCCCCCAACTTGGGGCATAGAGCAGGCTCAAGTCGCAACTGCGAAATATTTTTATATCCAAATTTCTTTTTCTGACAAAGAGTAAAGAATTAAATTGGGAGACTAAGATGGACCATTTCTGGCTTTTTTGCCTTCATCAGTTAGCCATACCCTTTATGGGATTCGAACCTGGGCAGTTATACATACTAGTCAGTGATTTAGTCACTGAGC